CGTGAAAGCCTTCGACAATACGTTGCTCCTAATTGTTAATTTTTTATCTTGATCCTGAGCATATCTCCCTATCTGTGGCAGACACACATGCAAAACTTCTCAAGGCCGTATAAAAACAGGCAGATATACTATTTAAGCAAACTAGTCCTTTGGTGCAGATGGGCCCGGAATATCAGTCCAGTTAGCTCATAGCTTGTCTAAACTGAGGTTGTTGTAAAATATTATGAGAACTGGTTTTATATATTCCAAGTAAACTTCTACTCTTTAGTGTCCATCCTGGAGTGAAGGCTTCTACCTGTGTCCCAAAACTCTTCTTGTTCCTCAGATGCTGTAACACACTTAGGGATTCATTTACAGCGATAGCGGCCAATCTTTTAGCAGTGATGGGGATTACTTGTGTGGCTTTTCATGACAAAATGAGTGCTAACAGTAATCACCATAAGTGGGTAGTACCTGCCCTTTTGATAATACCCCTGAGACAAGATGTCATGTGAGAATATTGAACTCTTGTGAAATTCCTTAATAGTGCAAGGTCTTAATATTTAATTAAATATTAACATTTAATTAATTTTTTTGCTTGTGCAAGTTCCACAGGAACTGTACCATCTTGCCAGTCCCCAGGATATGGTTATGGCATTAAAAAAAAATCCTCTCTTTTTCTAGGATCAAGAGTCTTTTCAAGAGGGATATCACTTACCCCCAGAATATGAAATCTCTTCCGATGAAACAGAAGGGCAAAATGAAGTTCATCTGATTCGGGCCCAAGGCCTGCCATATGACTGCACTGAGCAAGATGTTCTCAACTTTTTTTCAGGTAACTTCATTGCCCTGACTGGCCCACTTGTAGCAACTAAAGGCTACTACCTCCTGGCATTAAACATACTGTTTAATGTTTCACATATATTTTATGAAGTCTCAGCTGCTGACTGTTTTGGGATGGCCATAGAAAGTTAAGCAGGGTTGGACCTGGTTAGTACTTGGAAGGGGACCAGGGTTGTAGACTAAACTGTGTAGTTGAAGAAGGCAGCACTCTGGAAAAAGCTAGCACCAAGGGGAGAGCCAAGACTGAATGGATGTGTTATTTTTTTTAAACTACAAATGCAAGCAGAGAGGAGAATGTATAAAAAATATCCCTCCTTAACATATTTTGTTACTTGAGGCTGATGTACGGGGCAGAGGCTGCAATTGATTACCAAAAATAGGTATATTAATATTAACACGTTAATGTGTTTGTATTACCCCCACCTTTTTTTAACAAAAAATTAAACAGCTGCATGTTTTGACTAAAATTAGTGAATTTTATCATACGATATTGAGAGATTACAGAAGCTGTGAAATGGGGCTGGGGAATGCGAAATACAAACCATTCAAATATACTCCGGTTGATTCATAATGGCTCGGGAGAAAAGAAAGGTGTCTGTTGTCTCTTCATCCATACACTTGCTAACTTTCTAGGGTGCAAGGTCCGAAGTGGTGTGGAGGGCATCCATTTCCTCTTATACCGAGATGGCAAGCGCAGAGGAGATGCTATAGTTGAACTGGAGTCAGAACAGGATGTGCTGAATGCCTTGAACAAACACCGGAAATACCTGGGCCAGCGCTATGTGGAAGGTACTTCTTGTGAAATGGTCCAAGAACCCTTTGCCGACAGCTATAAACTTCTTTAAGCTTTAAAGAAATTCACCATTTTTGGTGTTGGACTTCTTTTCCCAACAGTTTTTGAAATACGTAATAAGGATGTTGATGTCCTAATGAGGAGCCTGAAGTTCCGTTCAGCACCCGTAAACAATGATGGAGTGGTACGACTGAGAGGTCTGCCCTACCGTTGCTCTGAAGTAGATATTTCAGAGTTCTTCTCAGGTGACATTGCATGGAGCACTGATTCATTCTCATTCTTTCTCCTCCCTCCCTCCCTCCTTGTGTATGTGTGTACATTGGGTCGTTGAATTGTTTTAGAATTATTAAGAACTTGGAAGCATCTCATTTATTGTCTGTTAAGTGTATGACTGTTTGGATTTCTTGAATGGGCAGGAAAAGTTTGCAAAAAGGAAATAGCATTGTGGCCTATTTAATATGGTTGCAAACCTTCCTTGTTTTAAGATCAGGAAAAGAAAAGGAAGAGGAAAGATATATAATCATGTTAACAAGAGTTGCTTTTGCTTTTCTTAGACAGTAATTTAGAATATTAAATTGGCTTGCACCCTATGTCTGTGCAAAGCTTGGAGTTTAGAGAAAGGTTTGATCCCTCGGGGCCAAAATAAAAATAAGTTGATGCATAGTGTCAAGATCGTTACATTTACGACCGCTTTGGATGTTTTACTGTGTTACCGAGTGTGTATGCATTTTATTTTTCTTACCAACAAATTGCAAGATATGGCTTCTGGTTACCAGGGTGAGTCTACTGACATGCTGCAAAATGTCTTCTCTTTCAGGTTTGACTATACAGGACATAGTATTCGTTTTTGACTACGAAGGAAGGAGGAAAACGGGAGAGGCATTTGTACAGTTTGCAACACCAGAAATGGCTAATAAAGCTTTGTTGAAGCATAAGGAAGAAATTGGGAATCGGTAGGAGAATAATGGAAAGTTGGCCACTTTTAAGAGGGAATTAATGGGCGTGTTATCGTTTGCACATGAGGCAAATAGTTTTTGTTTTTAATACGAGATGGCTCAAGGGTGGGCAGTTGCTTGCTACCTGTTGAATGTTCTCATATTTGAACCGAGCTTTTGTTATTAAAAAGGCTGCTTTGGTAAGTAATAATCATGATCTAATTCTCTCACTTTAAAAACAAACGTTATAGTTATATAGAAATATTCCCGAGCCAAAAGAGTGCAATTCGAACACACAGTGACTTTTTCCGGTATAAGAAGATGATGGTATCTCCTGTTCCAAAACAATGTTCTGAAACTATTTTTGAGGAAAGCAAGTTGAATGAGGTCTCGAAGCCCAGTTCAGCATATGAAAATGAAAACAAAAGTGGTAAGTGTGTACAGTATTTGTTTGGAGTAATTTTCCAGGGAAAATGAATAAATAAATGGCACATAAATATAATTTGCAAATCTTTGTTCTGTTTTCTTGACTTTGCAGAGGCTTTTAAGCAAGTATTTGAAAAGGATGTGGCTGAATCAGGAAGTTTCTCCTCCCCGTACTTTGTTCACCTGAGGGGGATGCCTTTTCAAGCAACAGCACAAGATATTATACATGTATGTAGGGGTACAGTTATTTCAAACATCCTGAGCAATTGTGGGTGGGAAGAAGCCTGTCATCAACCTGAATTTTAATGTCTTACTCAGTCACTGAACCTTGTAAAAAGATCTGATTAACCTGAAGCTAGTTTTAGAAACTACTGGCTGAAATGCATTTGTTTGAAATTCCCAATAGTGCTTTGCCACTAGGAAAGGGAAGTGGGAGTGCGTGGGAGTGTTAACTGCAATTGTTTTCCTGAGAAATTGAATGCTAATGCTTAACATTTACATTATTCGAACCCAAAGTTTGGGCATCTGGTGTATGGTTCATTGTTAGCTTTTTTTAGCTGGTCTATGATTTGATAGTTGACTTTACTCTTTTAGTTATAGTTTAAAATAATCTTGTTGATTAACAGTGGTTGATCTGACCACAGCTTCTACCTTGAAGGCACCAGGTTGGTGAAAGCGTCTTAGGATGTACCTAACGGGGCAAATTTTATAAAAATCTGCTTATGTGATTGCACGTGTATAAAAGTACATCAGGATTGTGCTTCTTAAATCTGGCCAGCTGCTCCTAATAGGAGGGTTTTCAGAAATAGTTCCAGTTACTGCAAAATGTCTGTGTCCTCATGACGAAAAGGTCAGAAGTCCTGAGAGTGTGTCCTAATTGTTGGGAACTCCTGAATTCTGCTGAATCTCCAGTTTATGAAACATCTTTGGCTTATGTTTGCTTGCTTATAAAGCAGATAATTTAGTTTATCGTTGAATAGATAGATCACATTTTAGAATACATAAGTTATAAATATAGAAGGGTATTGCATCAGCTTCTGTTTAATCTTAGCTTCTAAAACTCTAATATTCTTTATTTAATAATCAGATGAATCACAAAATCTGACTTGCCACTCTCCTGTTTTTGTTCTGTTTTTAAGTTTTTTGCTCCCTTAAAGCCTGTGAGGATCACAATGGAATATAATTCAAGTGGTCAAGCGACCGGAGAAGCAGATGTGCACTTTGAAACACACACAGATGCAGTTGCAGCCATGGCCAAGAACAAGTTTAAAGTCCGTAAGTGCATCTTGTGAATTTTTCACAGGCTTACAGGCTTTGAAAAGCAATTGTGGGTGGCGCTATATATTTTTGAATATACTAATGTCAGGAACATGGATTTCCTGAAGGTAGGTGTTAGTCATAACACATAGCTGATAGATTCCTTCAAATTAATTTTCCATTTACCTTCTTTTATTTTGCAGAGCATAGATATATTGAATTATTTCTGAATTCATCACCAAGCAGAAAATAGAGCAGCCCGTGACAATGGTATAATTCCCAAAGTTTAGGTGAGTTCATTGACAAATTTGCGTTGGGGCAGCCTGATCTGTTAAGGAACAGTTGGATTCACTGGGCAATTAGGGACATTGTTTCTTACAACAACCGCTTGGATACCTTCTGGAAGAGCACAAGATAGCTTTGAAGGTAACTTTTTCCTGTTACTAATTCCTGATAACTTGTATGCAGAGACATACTGCTTCTGGGAGATAGCATGTAATGATCATGGCTGGTTGCTGCTTGATAGCTGAATTCTCCATAAATGTGATTTCTCAGTGGCCAGTTTCAAACCAAAAAAGGTTTGGACCAAGAGGAACATACTCTGTTTTTTAGGACTTACTTTTTGAATTGTTTTAAGTTTTTGAAATGCACATAATGGGCTAAAAAGAGGGGAGTGTGGCACCTCATATCCAGATAGGTTTTCTATCAGATCAGCATGTCAACTGGGTTCAATATTCTGTGTTCATATTGTTCTCTAATTAGCAGCTGTGTGACAACCTATCTGTTCACATCTGTGTTCCTATAATCACTTTAAATTGCTACTTATTCAGGCTTTTGCAATGATTAAATCTGGGGGAGAATCAGACTTTTTCCATTTATTTTGTGTAGCTTCATTCTCCCATTGATTCTGATTCTTTGGAACACAAGCTCAGATCCAGGCCATTAGCTGAGCTTTGCTCTGTTTAAGTAAGTAATTGTTAAGTCAGAACCGAATTTACTTCATGTATTTTACTGGGAACTAAGGGACTTAAATCCATTGACTAAAATTACACATTGCACTAAGTCATTATTTATTTAACTGTAGCTGTTTGGCTGGATTAGCTCAACACACCAAGCCATCAGCCATAATTTACAAACATTTGCTAGTTCACACAAGATTATCTCAATATTTGGTTCTATAGTATTTTAAAAAGCTTGTAAGAGCTGTAGAATAGCCAGATTTAGAACATCATTAAAGAGAACATCTGTTCTGCTGAAAGAATCAAAAGCTTGCGTCAAAATATATGTGACATTCATTTTGTGTTAATTCTTTTGGCAACTCTTGCAAACTCTGTAATCTCAACTGATGCAAACTCTAAGCACAGAAAAGTTGTACTAGGCCACATCTGTACTTCATAATCTTCAAAAAACACAGATTGCTTGATATTCCTTTATGGATGTCATTTGCAACTGACATCCTTGACTAGAGTAGGGAAATAGGCTAGTGTTTATCTCTGTTAGTTTAATATGTTTGTGTTCTCTTTCTCAACAGACAAAATCAAGATGCATTTCATCTGCACATGTTCCTAGAGCTGGGCTACTGTTGTTTTCCCTCCCTGAATTGTCTTTCAAAGAAAATCCAGCGGCTGCGTCTGAAACCCTTAACAAAATGTTTGTGCAGGATCTGTTTTATGTAAACCAAAATTAAAGTTCAACTGTACTTAAACTCGCTACAGTACATTTCCTGGTAGATTGGGAGCCAAATTGAGAAGTGTGGCTTTGGTTGTCAGTTCTGACCATAGCTGGTGCAGATAGAGATAGCCTTTTGTTTCAGAACATCTGGTTAACAAAGCGAACTCAAGCATTAAATGGGTGGGAGGGGACGACTAGCCTCTAGCAGAGAGAGAGAAGAGGAGCTGCAGGAAGTTGCAGCCAACTGCTCTCTGCTCAGCCACAGTACGTTAGGGGACGGGACCTGAGTTACGTTTGTGTGAAACTTAGTATCATCAGGGCTTTGAGGCAGGAACTTGGAGGAAATGCTGTCCTTCACTATATGAATGCAATGGAGGCAACTGCATACAAGAAAAAATACTCATGAGAGCATCTTCTATATTGTAATAGGCTCAGGAAGTTGATTTGGATGGTATGCTTTGTAGGGTGTTTTTGCATCAAAATCCTCTAGTGGCTGGAATAAAACTACTCATTATCTTGAAGAAAAGTCTTGAATATATGTAACGTGAGCAATAGGAATATTTATTTTTCCACCCTTGAACTTCCACACGTTTAGCTTTCACTCACAAGTTGTTTAGGTTGATGTAAGGGTGTTTCCAGACAAGCAGGTTAGCATACATAGAAATGGGATGGGGTATTGTCAAGGTGACCACTAATGAACAATTTCCTTACTGGGTTTTGATAAGACTGAAATGGTGGAATGCCATTAGTGACATGCTGGCAGAAGGGACTGGACAAAAACTTCTTCAGCTGCCTCTCTTCTTCCCCTGGCAATTACTAGAAAATTCTGCCTTCCAAAATGGGAGTTGAACATGGGGTATGGGGAGATCTCCCCCAATCACCCAGTTTTGCCTTCTATGAGGAGTTTCTTATTAGCAAAATTACCCTGGCATCCTTATGTTGGATACCCAAACCGGGTACATCTGGTACTAATTCCCAGATATGTGTTGCAATGCATTACAACAAACTATAAAGAAAAATTAAAATTCTAGCCTGTATCTCAGACCCCATGTCTTAACCAACTGGCTATATCAAAACAATGAGACTTGTTGAAATGGGCTTGATCCCTCCCTACGTACTTTTTTTAGACTCTGACATAAGAGCCTCATACGGGGTAAGTGTGTTCTGTAGATTATGCCAGTGTTTCTCAACCTTGGCAACTTTCAAATGGATGGACTTCAACTCCCAGCATTCCCTAGCCAGCATGCTGGCTGGGGAATGCTGGGAGTTGAAGTCCACCTATCTGAAAATTGCCAAGATTGAGAAATACTGGATTACGCTGTAATGAACACTGGTGACCCCAATTTCTACTGCCATGATCATCAAGCATATTTAATATGCTTAACAGAGGCTCTTTTTCTTAATTCAATCATGGTGTTTCAGGGTTCTTTATCTTCTTCTGCCAGTTCTTCAAAACAACTTTCACAGACAGTGCAAGTCCATTCAACTGCCAGACTTCTGAGGATGATACTTGTAATCAGACCATGAAAGCAAAAGTATAGAAACTAAGCCAAAACCAAGTCAAGTCCAAGAGCAGGTAATCCACAGGCCTCATGCTGTTTCCCACAACCCTCAGAGCATCACAACCCAGTGGCATCTTTTTTTTAGCAATTTCCCAGTAAGATAAAGGTTAAAATGGATTAATGCATCAATTTATTCCTTTACATATCCCCCCCTTAAAAACGATTCAAAAGCCACTACTTCATAGTTCTGAGCAGGGTCAATATGGGAAATGAATCATCATAAAATTAAAATATTGAGGTTTTACAGGGCAAGTTTCTACAAAAGCAAAACTCTGCTTTACAGAATTCTCCCTTGTGAATGGAAGTATTAAAATCAGACTGCAGAGTGGCAAACCCCACTTCTTTCTAGCACTGAAGATGTTACCTGGTTAGGTAACGAAACATCTGCGAGAAAACCACCAAGCTCAGAGTACACCAAGGACTCCACAGTTCAACCCTGAGCTACAGATACTCTCTTCTATTGGCTTTATGTTTTTCCAAAGAAGAATATGTGTTATGTGGGTTATACTAGAGTTAGATTTTCTTCCCCTTGCAGGAATACCAGTTCAACACACTTCCTCCCAGAAGCAATATGAGATGATAATTAGCAAAAACAGAATTATTGCACTGAGAGATCTTGACTGTGCCTGTCCATTTCAAAGTGAAATTAAATTCCTGCCCTTACGTTTTGGAAAGCTTGGTGAGGCTTACATATGGCCAGTAAAGATTGCACTATGCAGGCAAATGAACAACAGATTCAAATACATTCTGCGGCCTCGTTTTAATGTCCAGTTCAAGTAGACCATTTCTTACAAAGGATGAAACACTTTGGAACTGTACAGTAGTCACCACTGTTGAGTTCCCTGCTGTTAAGCAACAGTCTCCATCACGTGTCACAATATTTTCCATAACATGCTGCCAAATTTTCAGAAAACCATGAAATAATGGATTAAAAAAATCACATTGACCTACATTGAGTTTAAATGAACTGTAGTACTGCCCATATAGTCCTATTTTGTCATTCATGTCTACAGCTTGAATTAGCAGCTCTGCAAATTTTACTTATTTAAATATTAAGGGTTCAAGTTATTCTCTATTTTAAGAATGAATGAATGAATGAATGAATGAATGAATGAATGAATGAATGAATGATTGAATGATTGATTTTTACAGGTCATCCAAACTGTTATGATTCTTAGTTGCTGGTCTTGGCAACCTGCAAAAATAAGATACCCAAAACATTTCCTGGGAAGTTCAAAGAGACTACTTTTGCTGAACAT